ATTATACCAAGTTAAGATGAAATTCCAACAGTAATTATACTAGGAAAAGTGAGAAAATTGATACTAGCAGAAATGTAGAAAGCCAAAATGATTATAAAAGGCCAATTTACTAAAAAAAAATAAAAGAGGATAGAGGGCAATTATTTACTACATAAATTCATGTCAAAATATTTTTAAAAGGACATTACAAATATTTTATCATAAATAGATAATAAAAAGAGACCCTAAATGAATATTACCTTAAAGAGTTTTATCTCAAACAAATTGAAAAACTATTGTTTAATTCTTGGAAAATATTACCAATGTTTTAAAATCTTCCTTAACAAAAGACTGCATTAAAAATCTTAGCCTAGTTAATGTGTCATTGAAAGTCTACATGGATATGCTATAACAGAATAAAGGTGGCTTCTCTGTTAATCCTCCTATCAAGATGTTTGAGATTAAGTAGAAAACAAAGAATGTATTTAAAAAAGGTCCTCTACCTACTTTATTTACTGTGTTCGGGTCTCTTCAGTATCTTGTTAATGTTATTGGACATAATTTTTTTATCAGTACTAAAATGCTAGAACACTTGGAGTGAGACTATGTAGGTTGAAGCAGAGTATATACCTGTGTTTTATTTAAAAAGCCAGTCTTCATCAGAAGCATTGTATTCTTGGCTCTAGTTTTTGACCTAAAAATGATGAGTCCCAAATCAATATTGTAAACAAATAAACATGTTTTTCACACCCTTCACTATCTCAAACACAAGACAATACTTATAATGTAAAGCTTATAAAATTATCATGGTTCTCAAAATGATTTTGGGTCATGTCTTCTCTACACCTCTTATCAAATGGTCAAAGTAACTTTTATTTAGGCTAGTCATGGTATAGAACTTTGAAAATGGAAGTTTTCCTTTATTTCTCAGAGTGAAGGCTAAAAGAACTTGGTAATAATAATGATTAAAATGGAATTCCAATAGCATTAAGCATTAGAGAATCAGAGAGAGAGAGAGAGAGAGAGAGAGAGAGAGAGAGAGAGACTAAAAAACAGAAATTTACCAATGACACATTTCTTCTTCACATTGAATAATCTAGTTTCCTCATATTATCCTCTCAATAATCCTTAACACATTCCCTAACGTTTTGACAATGTTATTCACAAAAAAGGGCATCTGCATTTATATATTTTATTTAACTTAAATACGTGAATCTCTGTTGGAGGAATTTCAAGTGTCAATGATAGATAGCAAGCTAGATATATTTTGGGATTTCTTTTTTTCTTAAATGTGACTATCGTCTCTGTCTACATATAAGATTGTCACTATATGTCATCAATTGACACTATTGGCCATATCTAACATGTATAAAAAAACAGAAAAATACCCAGAAAAACTGGGAAATAAAGCCATTTACTTTTAAAGCATCATTACTACTTAATAATTAGTATGTTGATTTCTACCATAATTTTCAGATTATCAAATCTAATTCAATTCTTTCCCCCAACTATTTTACTACATAAAAAGGTATCTAGAATTACTGGAATGAAGCATAAAAAGAAATGATATGGTTAGGTTAATTTAGCTCCTCATATACGGTTACATAAATCATTATCATTCATTCATTCAGAAATATTTAACCAATATTTTGTGAATGACACTTTTTTAAGGGTAATTTTATTTTATTCATAGGATTCCAAAATATTTTTTTCTTTTTTTTTATTGTTGGTTGTACAAAACATTACATAGTTCTTGATATATCATATTTCACACGTTGATTCAAGTGGGTTATGAACTCCCATTTTTACCCCATATACAAATTGCTGTATCATATCAGTTTCCCTTCCATTGATTTACATGTTGCTATACTAGTGTCTGTTATATTCTGCTGCCTTTCCTATCCTCTACTATCCCCCTCCCCTCCCCTCCCCTCTTCTCTCTCTACCCCCTCTACTGTAATTCATTTCCCTCCATGTTTGTTATCCCATTCCCCTCACAACCAGTTTTTTCCATTTCCCCGCAAATTCCGTGATTTTTCATTTTTTAATGCAGAGTAATACTCCATTGTGTATAAATGCCACATTTTTTTATGCATTCGTCTATTGAAGGGCATCTAGGTTGGTTCCACAGTCTTGCTATTGTGAATTGTGCTGCTATGAACATCGATGTAGCAGTGTCCCTGTAGCATGCTCTTTTTAGGTCTTTAGGGAATAGACCCAGAAGGGGAATAGGTGGGTCAAATGGTGGTTCCATTCCCAGCTTTCCAAGAATCTCCATACTGCTTTCCAAATTGGCTGCACCAATTTGCAGTCCCACCAACAATGWACAAGTGTACCCTTTTCCCCACATCCTCGCCAGCACTTGTTGTTTGACTTCATAATGGCTGCCAATCTTACTGGAGTGAGATGGTATCTTAGGGTGGTTTTGATTTGCATTTCTCTGACTGCTAGAGATGGTGAGCATTTTTTCATGTACTTGTTGATTGATTGTATGTCCTCCTCTGAGAAGTGTCTGTTCAGGTCCTTGGCCCATTTGTTGATTGGGTTATTTGTTATCTTATTGTCTAATTTTTTGAGTTCTTTGTATACTCTGGATATTAGGGCTCTATCTGAAGTGTGAGGAGAACTTAAATTATCACTATTTGCAGATGACATGATTCTATACCTAGCAGACCCCAAAGGGTCTACAAAGAAACTATTAGAGCTAATAAATGAATTCAGCAAAGTGGCAGGATGTAAAATCAACATGCATAAATCAAAGGCATTCCTGTATATCAGAGACAAATCCTCTGAAATGGAAATGAGGACAACCATTCCATTCACAATATCCTCAAAAAAAAAAATACTTGGGAATCAACCTAACAAAAGAGGTGAAAAGACTTATACAATGAAAACTACAGAACCCTAAAGAGAGAAATAGAAGAAGATCTTAGAAGATGGAAAAATATACCCTGTTCATGGATAGGCAGAACTAACATCATCAAAATGGCGATATTACCAAAAGTTCTCTATAGGTTTAATGCAATGCCAATCAAAATCCCAACGGCATTTCTTGTAGAAATAGATAAAGCAATTATGAAATTCATATGGAAAAATAAAAGACCCAGAATAGCAAAAACAATGCTAAGCAGGAAGTGTGAATCAGGTGGTATACCGATACCAGACTTCAAACTATACTACAGAGCAATAGTAACAAAAACAGCATGGTACTGGTACCAAAACAGGGGGGTGGACCAATGGTACAGAATAGAGAACACAGAAACCAATCCACAAAACTACAACTATCTTATATTTGATAAAGGGGCTAAAAGCATGCAATGGAGGAAGGATAGCATCTTCAACAAATGGTGCTGGGAAAACTGGAAATCCATATGCAACAAAATGAAACTGAATCCCTTTCTCTCTCCATGCACAAAAGTTAACTCAAAATGGATCAAGGAGCTTGATATCAAATCAGAGACAAGGCGTCTGATAGAAGAAAAAGTTGGCTACGGTCTACATACTGTGGGGTCGGGCTCCAAATTCCTCAATAGGACACCCATAGCACAAGAGTTAATAACTAGAATCAACAAATGGGACTTACTCAAACTAAAAAGTTTTTTCTCAGCAAAAGAAACAATAAGAGAGGTAAATAGGGAGCCTACATCCTGGGAACTTTTTTTTTTTTTCTTTTGGTACCAGGGATTGAACTCAGGGACACTCAACCACATCCCCAGCTCTTTTCTGTATTTTATTTAGAGACAGGATCTCACTGAGTTGCTTAGCACCCTGCTGTTCTTGAGGCTGGTTTTAAACCCATGTCTCAGCCTTCCAAGCTGCTGAGATTCCAGACATACTGTGAATGGCACCTTTTAAACAGTCATTCTACACAGGTTTTTAGGGGGTATCTATTGTAGATACATGTCATATGAAGTCTTTTTACTGAAACAAAATTGTAAACATAGATCATGGGAAGGGGTTCTTAGCCATATTGAGCTATGAAATAATAAGATTCCTAAGATTCCTTCTCAAGTGGTTCTAAGATTTTAAATATTGTGGAAAGAGAGTGAGGACACAGGAAAATAGTGAGAATGTGGGAATAAGCTATATTCAGACCTCACAATTTCTGGATTATTTTATTTATCGTGCTTTATTTAGCATCACTTTTAGATTCATATTAACACTAAGGAATTGCTTTGCACCTTGAAATTAAGCAAGGAACATAGATTTATCTTTCAGATTAAATGGATTATAGAAAAATCTTGGTACATGTATATTCAATAACACTTAGATTACATACATTCCTTATTCAATGGCACTAAGACCCAAAGTAGACAAGGCACAGAAAAGTTACTTGTATTTTATACATAGACTAATATTTACTCTTAGGTAAACTTGGAAAAATAAGGCTCACTAATCAATCAGTATTTGGATTAATAATAAAGATAATATCAGACATAAAACATAACAATTTGTAAAGCTGCATTCTTTCATTTTAGCCCATTTAAAAATTAGAACATGAGAGCTGGGGTGGTGGCTCAGTGGTACAGCACTTGCATAGCATGTGCAAGGCACTGGGTTTAATTTTCAGCATGCAAATAAATAAATAAATAAAATAAAGGTCCATTAACAACTAAAAAAATTTTTAAAAAATCAGAACATGAAGAAGTATTAAAGTGACATTTCCTTCTTTGTAGTATCTCTAAGGTAGTTTTATTTTAATTCTCATATTTTAAGATAGTAACTTCCTATAATTTTGCACAGGGATTAAGATTTTGCATATGTACATTTTTTTTTTTTTGCAGTACTGGGAATTGAATCCAGTGGTGCTCTACCAGTAAGCCACATCCTAGCTCTTAAAACAAATAATCAAAACCACTTTTTTTTTTTTTTTGAGACAGAGTCTTATTAAATTTCCCAGGTTGGTGGTGAACTTGCTATCTTCCTGCCTCAGCCTTCCAAGTAGCTCAGATTACAGGAGTACACTACCTTGCCTGGTTTAATTAGTACTTCACAAATTAGATGTCTAGATTGTCCGTCCACTGAATTCCAGTTAGTCCATGGCAGCAGCAGTGCAGTAGATGACACTATGAGGAAAGTATTAACAGAAGATAATAGAGCTATTTTTCTTAAGCCTCTAACTTAACATTAGAAAGTGATCTTGGTAACAGAATGAATTAAGTGATAATTTTATAGGGTTCTTTTACTTTGCATATAAAAGGATATTTAAATCATATATAAAATGCCCAGAAAAACTCAACACCAAGTAACAATTTATCATTTGGCATTATTGGCTGGATCTAATGTGTTAAAAAGAAAGTGGGGGCCCCCCATTGGGAAATACAGCCAACAATATTTAGTTTTAAAGCTAAACCTACTTAATAATTAGTGTATGTTGATTTCTATCATAACTGCCAAATTAATCAAATCTAATATGATCCTTTCTCCCAAACTACTTTGCTGTGTAAAAAGATGTATAGAATTATTGGAATAAAGGATAAAAAGAAATAATGAATGATAGAGTGCTTGCTTAGGATGTGTGAGGTCCTGGATTCATTCCCCAGTACTGAAAAAAGAAAGGTAGGAAGAAAGAAGGGAAGGAGGAAGGAGCCCCATGAGGCCTCATAACATGGGTAGGGACAACATATATTTTGTTCATCATTGTATATTTTCTTTTTTTTATTGGTTGTTCAAAACATTACAATGCTCTTGACATATCATATTTCATATATTTGATTCAAGTGGGTTATCAACTCCCATTTTTACCACATGTACAGATTGCAGAATCACATTGGTTACACATCCACGTTCATACACACTGCCATACTAGTGTCTGTTGTATTTTACTGCCTTTTCTATCCCCTTCCTATCCCCCCTCCCTTCCCCTTCCCTCCCAACTTCTCTCTCTACCCCATCTACTGTAATTCATTTCTCTCACTTGTTTTTTTCCCCTTTCCCCTCACATCCTCTTATATGTAATTTAAATAGCAAAATAGGCTTCTATAAATAGAAGCATGAAGTATAATCTCATTCATGATATTTCTAAACATTTAGGTAGTCACTGCTTCTTCTTGGCAGTTGAAAGTTGTATGTTACAAGACTTAGATATTTTATAGAGTCCTATTTTTTTTTGCACTGAGATCCATCTTTGTAAAACATCAAAATTTAGTTAAGTAACATAACCATGAAAAGGCAGATTATTTTGAAATTTTTATGATGCATACTTAACACAGAATATACTTCATTTAAATAGTCATGCCATCACAACAACATAGAATATGAAAATGTTATAAAGGCCTATGCCACTTATGTTGAAGAATGGAACAGGTTTACATATTCATTTATCTGAAATAGTTTGTATTACAAATATGTACTATATATTTGTTTGTACTTTGTAGACAAAGAGTTCTGGATGCATACAAAGACTAGAGTTTCTGACCAAGTTTCATTTTTTTCCTGATTTCTGATTTTATATGCCACTTGTAAATGTAATTTCCATTCTTTAATATCCATTCACTTCACAGTTAATACTTTTTGAGCACCATAGATGACTTGAAATTAAATCACATACATCTTTCCTTTATGTGTTAAAGTGTAGTATTAGGGATTAATAGGCTTTCTTTTTAGTATCTAGATTATTCCTTGGTAGCAAGTTAGTGACACAGGGACACATTAACTTTTGAATTACAGAACACTCTTCACTAAACTGCATCAAAGACTAAGAGTCTTGAATATGAATTATATTTATATTCAATTTATTTATAGTGAGTAATTTATTAGCAAAGGTGGATTTTTTTCATGTGGTTTCTTTTAGACTTACATCATTTGTACTGTTAATAATATAGATCTTTATATTCCAGAAACTACTTGAAATTGGCAACACAGATAATATAGACTCATTTACAATGATTATGATTTATAGAGTACTAGAGTATATGCTGAAAAGCCAATGACAACTATTCTTTTATCTTAATTGGCAGACAATAGCCTCAAGCTTTCCTCCTGATAAAATCCCTAAGGATTTTCCAAGACTCAATAAAACATGATATATGAATATTACAACGGATGGTGCTTTTCTTTAGATTAGTTTAGGTTTAGGCAATGTGTACTGTTGACCTCCTCTGGTATGTGTTTTGTTACCTAAACTTTGGAGCAAATTGCCTGGTAACATTAATGAATAATTGCTATAAATCTTTGCTAACAGCTCATTCTCTTCCTGTGCGTTTTTTAAACAAAATAATCAGTACAACCCTCTCTACATGCTGCTTTCAGCTGCTTATATCTGGACTTTTAAATATTCACACACCAGGCTGGTTCAGATAATTCTTCCCAACCTGAATGACATCAGTTCAGGAACTGATCTGCTGTTTGCCCAGCAGAAGAGTTACATATTGCCTTTTGAAGAGTGACACCTCAAGCCGCGGCCTTGACATTTGGCCTATCTTTGAATGGCTTGAGATACAGCTCTTAAGATAATCTTTATGATTCAGACTAACTTTGGACATTCTGACTTTTAGTACTAAACTCTGCAGAAAGAGTTTAATTATGTAGGAAATGGGGTTATAGAATCTAAATTGCCATCGTTCCAGAGAAATTCTCATGGGTATTTCTATTACTCTCAGAGAAGAATCCGAAGAAGCCTTCCCCTTCTTTGGCTGTTCAGTTTCTGGAAGCCAATTTTGATGAGTTTTATATCTGCCACCTGGCAGTACTGTTCCCAAACTCAACTTAATATTTTTTCTCATAAGTTTATAAGTTAGGGATACACAAAAAGAAAGTGAAATTAGTTCTTAGTATTGAACTAAAGACATTCTATTAATGGCACTGTGTTGTCCCTATCAGGCAGAAAACCTTAAAACACTGACTTCTTTACCTTTCATATCTCTTCACCAAATCTTATTTTCTCAATAGTGTTTCTGACATGAATCTCTTCATTCTGTTCTAACTGCTACCAGTCCACACCAGCACACCATTTGTCTTATTATTATACTATGTTATTATGATTGTTACTTAGCTGGTACTTTGGTTTCTAACACCAACTACTTCAATTAATCCTCCAAAGCTGAGACAGAAACTGATGTTCCTAACATGATATTTTCATCCAGTTATCATTGCTGATGTTAAAAACTCTATAATGGGTTCTAATTCCCTATCACATGGAATCTAGATGTCTTTGCATATCTTGAGGGCTCTCAGTAATTCAAACTTGCATCACCTATCTGATGTCATCCTACAGGAACTTCTATTCCTGCAAGACTGACTTCTGGACCTCTCTGTGCTTTATTTATGCTGCTTTTCTCCTCTCTGTTAACCTCTCTTTCCTTTCTGCTTATTCATATCCCACCCATTCTCCATGGCTGAAACCTTCCTTCTCAAATGGTATTACCTGCACTGAAAAATGAACAGATTACTTAGTACCAGTCTATCCTATGAAATAAAAAATAACTGATGCAGAAAATATATTATGACAAGATTGTTTTTAACTCAATGATGTCACTTGTACAAATCTGTGCATTCTTCAAATTATTTAGCTATAAGTACTTTAAATGTAGCATTATTTTGAAAAAGAAAAAACAAAAACTGAAACTAACTACTAATGCTATAAACATCTTGTGGACAATAGATGAATGACACACTTTCAATATATCTCACCAAATTCAAAACAGTGCTAATACATGACACAGTTTTTTGATTAGTTGTCTTTCTCTTTATCTTGTAGTAACAGTAAGAGATAAAAATAAACCCCAATTTACTGCTTTTCTTTTCCCTCAACTTGGTCCATGTTTTTCACTAAAATTCTATCTCTTTCCAAAATGTGATAAGATAAAATTTGAACACCAAATTGAGTAATAAAAAACAATTTTTATGTTTACCATGAAATGGCAAGAAAAAAAGATGATGGAAACTTGAAAGAACACGTGGAAGGAGTTTATTTAATTTTTTTGGTACTGGAGATTGAACCCAGGGGTGTTCTACCATTCAATTACATATCCAATATCCAGTCCTTTTTATTTTGAGATATTTTTATTTTATTTTGCTAAATTGCTGAGAGTCTCCCTAAGTTGCCAAGGCTGGTCTTGAATTTGTGATTCTCTTGCCTCAGCCTCCCAAGCTACCACAATTACAAGCATGTGCCATCATGCCTGGCTTTCTTATGCTTAATTGTCACCTTTGTGCCAAAAATTTCCAAATGTGTAGTGCTTGTAACATTAAGTTCATACACACAAAGACTTTAATCATTCACTTTAACCTGTCAAAAGTGCTGGTCCACTATGTTGATGTGCTTACTGAGAACAGAGATTGACTTATATCTTTAAAACAAACTATTACCCTTTTCTAAACTTTTCTCTCAATATACTCAAATGATGGCAGGCAGATCTTTGATGGGACATTCTGCCTTTTCCATCTTCCAAAGCCTAATTTTGCTTTGTTATGTATCAGTGTCTTTGAAGGTTATGAAAAACCTGCGCCCTATTTTTCTTTTCCATTCAATTAAAAGGGAGTTAAAATCTGTACTTCTTCAATGGTATATCTACAGATGTCTACTTAAATGATTTATGGTACAACCATACAAGAGATTTAAAGGCACTTAAGATTATATATGAATGAAAGATGTCATTTCATAAATGTGTCAAAATGTTAAGTGATACATTTAGTTTATAAAATTGTAAGTATTATATAAAACATTTTGTAAAAATGCCAAGTTATGAATATTATGGGTAAGTAAGCATTCTCCAAATGTTTAGCCTATCAAGATATTTAATATTTCTTTAAACCAAGATAAATACATGAACATAACTACTAAAGATTACAAGTGGGTATTTAAGAGAGAAAAATGTAACCTATTTTTTTTTCTCATTCTCAATTTTTGCTGAACTTTCCACAGGTTTGGATATTTATAAGCCTGACAGAGAGAATGAAGCTTAAAAGTAACTGTAATATTTATATTCAGAAATATATACTATGTATATTTTATAATTTTACTTCATAATAGCTATAAGTTTCCCAGAAAGATAAACTAAGGGACCCATGGTTCACAAAGATGGAAGAACTACTTACTTCATTGTTTTTAAACAACATAAATCAA